TATAAAATCTTCCTTTTTCCTTATGAGGCAGAAAAGTTGGAAAAAACACTCTAGACCTGTTACTAAAAGCTTAACAGTGGTAGTTCAATAGAATTTAAATTATATTAATATATGCATTTTACCATCACTTCAAGCAAATCTTTCTTTCAAAAAGCTAATGATTCCTACTAGAAATGATTCAAATTTTTCTGAAGATAACATTTTCTCATAATTTTAAAACTGCCCTAATTCTTTAGTTTTCTCATTTTAAGAGTAATTCTGAGGTTTTTCATTTTTAAAATTCATAATTCAGTATAAAAAGAAATTAAACAATTCTTAGTGCTGATCAAAAACAGTTTTGGAGGTTTTTAGTTTTTATTTTTGTTTTTTGTTTTTTGTTTTTTTTTTTTTTTGGCTTAATGTTCAGTGATTCCAGAATGAATATAGTATTTAAATCAGTAACATTTGTGGAAATGGGGCCAGAGAAAAAAACTGGACTCAGTGGAATATCTCGGGGAACCTTACAGTTGATTATCCTGATAAGATTTATCTTTACTCCCACATTCCCTAGATGTAAATGTCATTGTCCATTTTAAACATGGTACGACCAACCTACTAGTGACTTATGTTGAGAAAATGTAAAACTTTGACCTCTAAAAATCTTTGACTTCTACCATAGTAGAAAATTTCTTAAAATGAAATTTCACTGATAATAGTTTGCTTTAAATATGACTTTCATTGCTTGTGTTGAAATTCATTATAGGAATCTACTGTTGACTAATATTCAAATATTGCTGAAGCAAAGCATTTTGGATCCTTTTTTGTAAATTTATATTTGAATTAATATATTTAGTGCTTTGTTCATTTTCTAAAATGAGACATTTGTAAGATCTCAGCACTTTATTGAATACTTAAAAATAGGGCTTTTAAGATTATTCTATTTTATGTTTTCTAACTAATAGCTCTAAAAATCTTACTACGTACCTTCTAAGTAAATTTTCAGCTTCCTAGATTTAATATCTTAAATATGCTTAACCTGTAGCATCAGGTTAGGAAACTAATAAAAGGTTTTGTAATGTTCACAAAGATAGAAAATGAAGTGTGCTGAAGTAGTTAAGGACTCAGGGAGAACTTTATATACTTACAATTAAAAGTATTGTCTTGTATTATTAGGACCTACCTGAGTTCTAAAGTTTTTTATAAATTATTTAAGGATGTTTGATGAAATGAGAATCTTATCACTGTGCTTAAAATATAGTATTAGATATATTTTCACAGTAGTTCAAAATAATTGGTTAACAATATCAGTTCTCAAGTCAATGAGATAACATTAAACTTCACTAGTTTCACTATGCTGTGAAGTATATAAGCTTTTCCATCTTTTTATCTCAATAGATGCTCTTTATGACACTTGCAGGAAAATATTAAAATGACGTAAGCTTGTACAAAATGGATTGCAGATAAACCCACAAATCCTGATTTGTTTTTTATGCATGTGTGTGTGTGTGTGTGTGTATTTTTCCATTACTGAGGATTAAGACGAGCAACTTCAGAGCTACATCTCCAGCCCTTTTTAAATTTTGTTTTTATTCTTTTGAGATGTATCACTGTTCCCCAGGCTGCCCCTAAATTTACCATTCTTCCAGTCCTGTCTCAGCCTCCTGAATAGCTGGTACTACAAGTATACTAGTTCATAGTATTCTTGCTTTCCTATTTTCTATTTCTGAAAGCAATTGTAATCCTATTATTTGAGCCTTATTAGAAATATGAGAGCAGAAATGGAAATATGTTGATTATAAAAATGAAGAAAACTCATTCAGCAGCAGAGTTGCTCATAGATGAAAAACATCTAGAAGTGATAGAAGGAAAGGTAGATTATTGGTGTGGGAACTTCCAGGTCCACATAGAAACTCAAATGCAAATGTTCATAGGGATATTATTCACAGTAGTTAAAAGGTGAAAAATAAATGGCCATTCAAATAGATGAATGGATAAAAAAAAAAATGTGTACACAAGAGGGAACATCCAAAGGCATACTTTATGTGCTGCATCTTGAACAAAACTTGAAAACCTTATTCTACGTGAAATAAGTCAGATACAAAGTCCACATTTGTAAGATTATTTTGTGCTATTTCCATAATAGACAAATCTATAGAGATACAAACAGTTCACCGGTTACCAAGGAATAGGAAGTAGCAAAAAAGTTACACAATGGGTACAGAATGTTTTGGGGAGTGATGAAAGAATTTTGAAACGAGACATGGAGTGAAACAAGACTGTGCATATACTGAATTACATAATTCAAAATAATTGTTTTATGCAAATTTCACTGATTTAAAAAAAAAAAAACAGGTTTAGTCAATGCAATCTTCCAGTAAGTAGCCTGTATTATGTGGCCTTGCCTGTTGCTTCCATGTGCCTTTAACATCAATACATTGTATTACATAATGGATTTAATATGCTGATCATTTAGAAACTTTTAAATGAATTGGCCTCACCAGAGCCCCACTTCAAGTAATGTGCTGAAGCCTAAAAATCCATTTATCTCTCTGTGGCTTATGAGAGGAAACTTAAAAATTTTATGTTTGGTTGATACATAGGGTGAACTGAAGATAGCATATGCACAGATTTACTGTTAGTTTTAGGAATTTCTTCAGAGGTAAATCAGTATTTTACACACAAAAAAATTAATCATTAATCCCAAATTTCCACCTACACTAATTAATGTACCGCAGTCTGCACACTCAGTAGTTTCCCCAATACTCATGTGTTTCTATTCTTTCCTCTCTGCTAGCATTACCCAGTGCCAGCATAAGAACCTAAACCAAATTACAAATATTTTCTTCTTCCTATCCATCCTGTTTTTTTACCCATTGCTCAAATGAGACACCTACATTTACTATTTCCTAAATGCCAAAGTCCAGATATTTATTTACATTTAAAACTCTCCATAACCTGATTTCTATCCTGTCTAATATTTTCAAAATTAATCATTCATCTTATTTATCTCAAATCTATTACCAAGCATTGCTTTCGTTATTACCTGGACACACAGACACACAGACACACGATGACACACACTACACACTACCTGACACAAAGGCAAACGTCCTCTTACTTCGCTGTCATATTAGTGAGTTGGAATTTCAAGTTATTAATCTTACAGTTTCTAATCTTACAGCTTAATTTGAGTTCATCCACTTTCTTAACTCTGTGAACTTTGTTAAAATATGACAGACTCTATGCCAGTTATTCACGTCAACCCTATGATGATTTTCATGTCTTCAGTCTTGTTCAGGATAACTCCATTCCTTCCGTAGTTCTTCCTTTGTTCCCACCCTCTCGCCTTTTTTCTTTCTTTTCTTTTTCCTCCCTTCCTCCTACCGCTCCTCTTTCCTGCTCCTTCTCCCCCCGTCCTTCTCCTTTTCTTCCTCCTTCTCCCTCTTCCTCTTCTTCCTTTCTTCCCCTCTCCCTTTCCCATTTCCCCTTCCACTTCCGCTTCTCCTTCTCCTTTTTCTCTTCAGAGCTTTCTGGCTGGATTTGAACTTGTGATCCTCCTCCCCCAGCTTCAGAGGGTGGTGGGTTTACAGGTGTTCATCACGATGTATTGCCCTGTAGCCGTGGGGCTATTTTCCTCAAAGCATATCATCTGATATTTAGGGATGTTGGTTAGTGATTTCACCCCCATTTATAGT